TGCTAAGTGCCCTGTCAACCTGTAGTTCTATGGAAGGGAGCTCTCTTATCCCTTAAGAGTAATTACAGAGTCATGAGTTTTTTAAGAACAGTTTAGAAAATTGTGGAAAAACAACACGGATCTGGTCCAATGTGGGTGTGAGGCTATCCTCTAAGGAGGAATCTTAGGATGGAAAAGGCAGCCAAGGGGAGGTGTGGCCAATGGGGTAGGTAGGGCAAGACTGAAAGGCATACACTGGCTGCTGAGGTAAGCTGTTCTTGGATCCCTTAGGGCTGTGATGACACTTCCCTGGATGGAATGATGCTTTCCTCTCTAGTTCAGATCTGACCTTTCTGAGCTCAGTTGTCAGGAGGTCTCATTTCTCTTTCCAGGCTAGCAAAAGATTTTCCTGAAGAATGAAGTAGGGAAAGTGATGTGTCACAAATCCAGCTGCAGAGACAACAGTGAAGAATGAGCTCTCTCCAAAGCTGGATACTCAGCCTCACACTTAACTTACCACTGCTCAGCCTGCCAGTGCAAGAGTCCAGCAAACTCCTACATTAACGTATGCTTTAAAAATTCCCTGCAAGAGGAAAAGAATTAGGTTGCAGAGATTTCCCTGATTCCTTCATAATTTCTGATCTTTGGATGGCATTTCGTTTTTTAAATGTTAATGACTACGTTTTATCTTGGAAATGAATGGATCATGAAATTAAATATTTTTTTTTCTCATGAGAAAAAAGAATGAAGGTTGAGATTTTAACAAAACATTGAGTGAAAGATACCAAGTTTGAAAGATACCTACTTGCATGTGGCTGTTAAATAGGATTTCAGAACAGGCAAAAACCAAGTTTTGCTGTCAGTTCAGTCATCTTAGTAGCGATATCCTTTGATGGTGGTGATGATATTAACTAAGAAGGAACACATGATGACATCTGGGGTACTTGTGACTCACCCATTCTATTGTATATATCCAACATTATAAGTATGCTTTACAGTGTGTGCTTTTCTGTATCATTAATGTAATTCAATTAAGAGTTTAAAAATGCTCACTGATGCCCCTTTTTACTATAAGATGAGTCATAATAGACAAATGTAGAAACGATCTAAAATGTCTGCTGGTAGATGAATAAAGAAAATAGATGTGCATGTAATGAAATAATAATCAACCCCCAGAAAGGAAGGAGATGCTCCAGTATAGGGTAATGGAGGTAAACCCTGAGGACACTATGCTAAGTGAAAGCAGCCAGTCTCTCAAGATAAGTGCCAAGCGATTCTGTTTTTGTAAGGTATCCACAGAGGAGTCTACTTCATAAAATCAAAGTATGGAGTGGTGACTGCCCAGACAGGAGAGAAAGGTGATATTAATCAACAGACATAAAATTTCTGATGAACGAAATGACTAAATTCTAAGTATACTATACCTAGATCAACACTACTGTACTGCACACTTACAGTTTCATTAAGAGGGTTGATTTCATGTTAAGTGTTCTTGCCACAGTAATATAAAATAAGATAGTCATATAGAATAAATTCCTCATCTAAAGAAGGAAAGCATTCGGCCTTAGAGAAGTGATTTATAGAATATCTACAGAGCCATTAAGAAGTGAACCTACTGCCGGGCAGTGGTGGCATGCCTTTAATCTCAGCACTTGGGAGGAGAAGCAGGTGGATCTCTGTAAGTTTGAGACCACCCTGGTCTATGGATCAAGTTCCAGGGCAGCCAGCTCTGTTACACAAAGAAACACTGTCTCAAAAAAAAAAAAGAAAAGAAAAAGAAGTATACCTTGTGAAACTTTATACTGCTCTGGTTTATTTAACCTATCAATGGACATAAAATGCAATTTATGTCCATTTATGTCTCAATACAAATTACTTTAGACCAGATCATTCTGTTTAATCCCAGCTCTTATAATTTTAAATTTACAATTGCTCAAATTAATCAGTTTACAAAATGTGTATTTCATTGTGTGTCTGAGAAGGGGGTTAGGGTACCTCTCTCTCCCTCTCTCTCTCCCCTTTCTTTGTCTAGAAACTACTTTTCTAACCCTGCGTGTGTATTTATGGTCTGTGCATGACTGTGGATGTGAATGTGCAGAGGTCGAGGGGAGGACACTGGGTGGTCTGCTATCCTTTCCCTTGTTCCTCTGAGGCAGGTTCTCTCCCTGACCCTGGTGTTCATGTTTTTAGTTAGATGGGCAGCCAGCAAGGCTCAGTGATCCTCCTGCCTTTGACTTCCACACACTGGGGTTACAGGCACATGGGAACCATGTCCCCCTCCCCCCTCACATTATGGGTACATGGATCCGAACTTAAATCCTCATGATTGCAGAGCAACTTCTCTTAAGTATTGGGCAGTCTGGCCGGCTCTTAGAGAGCATGTTCCTAACTGTATTTCACAGCAAACGTGACGCAGCTCTAAGATGTTCTTTCATGTCTCTGGAAAGGAACAGTATGGTGCTAGTCAACAGTCTACATACTGTGGGTTTATATGCACCGAAATACAGATTACGTGGTCAACAAAGGGTGTTTTTCTGAGTTGACATTGTTTCAATAGACACATGAGTTTGATGACTGGCTTTCCTTCTTCAGAAAGAGCAAATCAATGGGGCAGGACATGCGATTACAGATGTATGCCCTGGGTTTATTTGTACAGTGCAAAGAGCAAAATGTATCATGGCATGCTACATCGGTGGTGTGAAATATCACAATTCTTTGCACTGTCTCATTTTTCAAAGTTATGGTTTTACAAATGCATCATTTTGCAGAGTAGCTGCCTGGCCTCCCAGTTCATTGGAGGACAACTTGAATCCAAAATGTTTTTATGAAAAGTGAACACCCGATCATGGTGGTCTCCTAAAACTATCACTGAGTTCTAATTCTTGTCTAGGTAATCAGTGGTCTGACTACTGCTACAAGCTATTTTGCTGGAGGAATGGGAGAGGGAAATGGGACCCTGGGTGGCTGTTTCCTCACTTACAAGTAGCACAGGGGCAGCTTTCCCTTCTATGTGTTTTCAGAGTAGGTTTTGTATTCAGTGGCTCATGAACTCAAGGGTGCAGGCAGGGATCTAAAGTAAAACCAAGCAATTAAAGTTAACATTCCTGACAGCAGAATCCTTGTCACACCGAACAAACACGCAATTGAGTGTTGAGAAGCTCCTGGAACATTTCAGCGTCCTCTGGGGATCTGAAAGCTACTGTCAGCCCAACCAACAGGATACAAGAATGCCTTCTCAAACAAAGGAAGTGGCTTGGAGAGGACTCTCTTTCATCTGTGTGGAAGTTCCCTGTTGCACATCTGGATGCCCAGGGAAATGATCATCTCAGGGGAACGGTACCCTGCAAGGCCATGGCAGATAGCAGATAGAACAAGTGAATGAGTAAGAAGCCCTCTCAATTGGAAATATTTATCTGGCTGAAAATGGAAAGGCAAGACAATCCCAGTTGAAAGCAAGCAAACAAAATCTCCCAACCATATGCTTAGCAGTTTGAACATTTAATAAGAAATGCCCTTTTCTATTTTATATATATATATAAATTTCATTGTCACTGCAGTGACTTTAGACTCCCCAACAGCTTGGCTTTCCTCCACTTCTGTAACTCTTCTTTGCTCATGTTCTCTGCCTCCCTCTGAAATCGATGGACCACACGAGCCTCAAATGATTAGGGATGGGAAATTAAATCTATGAACAAGCAGAACTAATGAAATGCTTCACAGCAAAGCAAAGGTGAGGTAAGAATTACTGTTAGCTAGAGGAGCCTGTAAATTCTAGGTATAAAAGAGAGAGTGTAGGGAGCAGATGGAAACAGCAAATTTTCAATCTTAAGGACACAACCACCATCAGTCCATCATAATATTTATAGCTTTTTACAACTATTTATATATATAATATTTTACTGTTTGTACAGATACAAATATATATATATACACATATGTACTAAAGACATCTTATACTTGCAATTTACACATTGTATATTTCATATTTACATATCCATTTGACCTTAAAAGTTATGTATAAGATACTGCCTAGCATATTTTTATTACTCTCTTGTGAAGCTATCATACAAGAAATATATTGGCCATTAGGTTTAAAACTAATCTTGTGAGTTTGCAGAGCAGGTAACCATCCTGATATCATTTACATACATTTGAAAAGCATCCTTGCTACATCACATATCTCTTGATTGCTTACTGTTGCTTCAGTAGGCTTCTCACATCTTTCACCCCACAGTTGAATATCATATAGAAGGCCTGATGATGAGACCAAGAGTGAAAAGACTATTGAAGGAAAAACCACTGTAAGCTATAGAGATGCACATGCAAATTCTGGAAAACGCAGTGCCCTTGGTATCTGAGGGAAGCAGAAGAGCGAGAATCTCACTGGTCAGTGAGCTGACTACGGAAAAGACCGCTGATGTGACAAGACAAATGGTTCTTGCCCAATATATAAATGGCCCTTTTTTTTCTCTTTTGATTTGTTTCAAGGCGCTGACTTTGTGCCAGGCACATGGTTACTGATTCAGATAGATTTCACTATTAGCAAAATGGGGCAGTTACATGTTCCAAACTATCTTAGCAGAAACTCCCCTTTACAAATTGCAAGAGGACACTGACCGCTCTTTTCATTCTTTAGCCGTCGGTGGATTCTTCTTTCAAAGCTCAAACAAGAAGTTCCATGTCCCAGAAAGCCTTCCCACATGTCTAGGCCGATATATTGCCATCATCCATGTTCACACTAAGGTCATGGCACTTCCCTCTGTGACTACAAACTTGCCTTGTATGCCTTGTCATGGCCTGTCCTCCTTGAGAATAGGAAGACAAACTGCCATTCAGTTCAACCACACCATCTGCTTTTCTACTGGAACTACTTATGGAGCAGCGAGATAACTTTTTAATTAATATGACAAGTAGCAAAGGACCGAATCACACCATTTGTCTTGGTTGTACTCTAACATGAAGTCCTAGGAAATATAAGCAACAATTTTATTAATATAGAGCAATTTAAAAAGTTATGTCAATTTTTCTGGGTTAAAAAGTATTTTATAGTTTTTTTTTTTCCTTAGCAGTACAGGTCCCTAATATTTCGACCTTGAACTTGCAGGGGAGGAGATATAAAAGAGAGCCTAGATGAGCTTTGGAGTGATGTCTGAAAACACACAGTGAACGGTAACTTCTAAAAGGGACACCATCACTAGAAAAGTACAAGGGTGAGGGAAACTAGACGCTAACCAACATGCCTGTGTGGATACCTGTCCCCTGAGATGGTGGCTACTGGAAGCCAGAGATAGGCCTTTCAACAAGATTAAAGAGATGCTATTAATTGCTATCGATCATGGGTCAACAAATTAAATTGCATTTGCAGCTGCCTCTCTGAAGGGTCTAAATGAAAAATGCAGTTAATGGGCCTGGCTGACCCAATGTTGTGATTAATTTAATAAGAAATGAAACAACAACAACCACAACAAAAAGCGTGTGTGTGTGTGTGTGTGTGTTTGTGTGTGTGTGTGTGTGTGTGTGTGTGTGTGTGTGTGTGTGTGTGTGTGTGTGTGGTGTGTGATGTGTGTGGTGTATGTGGTGTGTGTGGTGGTGGTGGTGTTGATGCTGGTGTGTGTGTATGTGCACCTGTGTGCATGTAGGAAGTTAGGCATCTTGGAGACCTCACATTAAAAGGTCTTCTTGGGACTTAACAATCTAACAACCGATTTACCCTGATATGTTCCATGGAAAAACAAAAACAGATGGCCACAATGGGTATTTACAAAACTCCTTTTCTTTCTTTCTTTCTTTCTTTCTTTCTTTCTTTCTTTCTTTCTTTCTTTCTTTCTTTCTTTCTTTCTTTCTTTCTTTCTCTCTCTCTCTCTCTCTCTCTCTCTCTCTCTCTCTCTCTCTCTCTCTCTCTCTTTCTTTCTTTCTTTTTAATTTCAGGAATCCTGCTGAACAACAATGTGGAAAACAAAGAGCCAATCTTTTGTATTCTAGAGGAACATGTGTGGAGGCAAATGCTAGAGGCCCACAGGTACTTTTGTCTCGCAGTATGCAGATAAATATTAGTCTGAGATTAACATTTGTGAAAAACTAGCAAAATAATTGTTTTCTTCTTACCTTCCAAATATAGAATTTCTTCTCAAGATTATTATATTTAAAAAAAAAAAACAACCATCTGATCAGTGGTGATGTTTGGCTATCCAAGTTGCCATTACTCAAGTCAAGATGAAAGTATGTTGGCAAACAGGTGTGGTGCCGGGGAGACAGATAGATATATGTAGTTGATGCTGAAGACCTAATTTGTTGCTAGCAACTTTGGCACAGTGTCCTGAAGTGAGATCAGGTACCACTCCAAGTGAAGCATAGGTTCCACATCATTGATTGTTGTCATTGGTAACAGCATCCTTGTAATCCCATGATCCAGCGATGTGACTGTTTACATTCTAGACTTCCCAATTGATCCTCCATGAAGAGCTATGGTACCAGCTGCCATGTTTGGGTCTCACTCCTACTACATCAGATTCTCATTCTTTCTTCCCTGGGCCTTTGTAACTGTCTCCCATTGGTGTCCCCACCTCTCGCTGGTCTCCATCTCATTCTTCAATCTGCTGTCACAGTTGTTTAAGATAAGATGTGAATATGGCCATGATACCTTCTGGTTTTATTATAATTACTCCACAATGTTAATAAAAAGCAAGTCCAATTTTCTTAGTATGGGTTTCCAGGTCTTGACAATTGGATTTTCTTCCCAGATGCATCTCTTAGTGTATGCCTGCCTCTGTAGCCTCATACTCAAATCAAATCTGATTGTTTGGCACCTTCAAACTATACCATTCGTTGTTTTCTGTTTTACAATATTGTTTCTCTAAACAAATACCCAAATCATACATAAGATACCATAGTCAAATCCAACATCATTTCATCTACCTTTTTTCTAACTCCTCCAGTCCTAATAACGGCAGCTGATCTACATTTGGACCTTCTAGGTTTTAATTTAAACTACTTTATGTTATTCTTCTATCCAATGTTTTCAACTCTATATGAAGATAGTTCTGCATAAGCATGTAAGCCTAGGAAAACCAAAATGTCCTCTGGCCTCTATGTTATAGTCTTCAAAATGGTGATAACTGCATTATAGCTGTGAGGATTCCCGAACCAATAAATGCAAGTCATTGTCTTATGTACAGCAGCCAATACAGTGTCTGCCACACCAAGAAACTCAAGTAATGGTAGCTGAGTTTTATATCCCAGTTCCTCCCATTCTTGTTACCATATATGATTATTTATTTGAAGAAACTTGTCTTTTACTGGAAAACTTTTCAACTTAAAATTAATTGTAGCAGTGTAGCTGTTTGAGAATAAGCTTCCTCAAAAACCCACTTGTAATGGGAGTATGGGAAGTATTTAGCATTTGGAATGGAAAGAAAGATAAGGTCAACATTTTGAAAAGTCAAAACGAAAGTCATGTTATGGCCGCCCCTGAAAATATTTGTAATAGAAAAATAAATTGAACCCATAAAATCCAGTGGTAGAAATTCTCAGGGATTCACTGTGTGAGGAGGGGAGCGGTGGGTGTATGCATGTATGTTTGTGGGTGCACACACTGTGTTCAGGTCCATGTGTAGGTTGAGACTGTAAGTCAACTTCAGGTGTCTTCCTTATTGTTTCCCTCCTTTTTTAAAAGCTGTTTACCATCAGGTGAGATGAGACAGCCCAGAAGCCCCAGGATCCCCCTGTTTTCACTTTCCAATCCACAGGACTGCTGTGCCCAGCTTTTTGACCTGGGTGATGGGGATCTGAACTCAGGTTTCCTGGGTGGGGGGGCAAATACTTTACCCGCTGAGCTGTCTCCTCATTCCCTAATTCATTCATTCATTTAACTTTTTTCTAATGAATAGTCTGCCTTCTTAGTGCATAAGATTGATTAGGGACATGAGGGTGTTTATACCACACAGGACAATTTGGGCGTTAATCTCATTCATATAAAAAAGTGTAGTCAGAAAACACATGTGAGTTTGGTGACTCCGAGATGACATTATGCCTTTCAAAATCATGAAAATACCTTTCTGTAGAAGAGTACTATTCTCAACATCAAACTTCAAATAGCATCAACTAATTAGGTCTGTGCCTTGGTTTATAGTTCTCTCCCATGCTTCTCGGGTATTGGCCCTATGAAACTTTGAGGACATAGGGAGTAGAAAATTGAATGTATGGGAATTTAAATGCAAGAAAGTCTAATTTTGTTTTATGAAAATGTTGGCGTGATACAGATGTGTTTTTATGTGCTTAGGTACACCATGCTGTTTTCCTAGTGGATATTTTTTTTTATTCTCTAGTAATGCAGAAACTCATGGCCATTATAAAATATTGTTCACATAACTTGATATTAGGCAGTGGGTTTGGCTCAAGGAGCATGACAATAAGAGTTCATTTTTACTTCCCAAGTAGAGTTTGTGTACAAAAAAGACGAAGGCATGTATTCTGGGTACTAGTCACCAGCCATGGTGCTTGCTCTGGACCTGGATCCTTGTTTATTGTAAGTCAATGGGTGAGGTTGAGGTCAAACATGGGCTTGAAGAGTAACAGTCTCAGTAAAAATTTTCAAATAGCAACAAACCCTTGAGTCTTGTCAGAGTTTTAAGATAAGGTTGTCAAGGTTCGAATCTATATTTTAGATTTAAGAGGCACACCAACCAAATATAAGGCCATTTTGGATATATAAACAAACTTACTTCTCATATTTAAAAAAAGTCTAAGAGTTCTGAATACGAACTGGATACTGGACAGTCATAAGGTTACTAATTTTGCTAAGTTTGTTAGTATAACAACACAGTTTTGTAAGAAAATACTACCTTTTTTTAAAAAAAACTGATGATTATTTCATTTCAGAGATGAATGGATACATGCTTGATGATATGGATAGAAAATAGTACGTTAACTATTTTCCAAAATCATAGTAACCTCTGGATTAGGACAATGAGGAAGCAAAGGACACTCATGCTATTTTTCTGACTATTTGGAAATTTTCATAATAAATTTCTCATCTCATGATGTTAGATTCATCTCTTTATATTCTCATTTTCTCAGTCATCAGAACACAGGCAGTATTCCTTCTTTGTAGCTGTGTTATGGAGACTGACCATGATGCTGTGGTCTCTGAGGCTCACACTGTCCTTGACATGTCTGAACATTCAAACACTGTAGTGCTGAGTATGGGTGTGGAGGAAGGAAAGGTTTTTGACTCTACCATTTAAAATACTCTCACTTGTAGTTTATTTGAGCCTTTTTCAGTGATACCTCCCCTTCCCCCAAGTCAGCCTTGCCTAAGATTTTGAAAAATGAAAATGCACTCAGGTAAATACTAGAGTTAAAGCTTAATTCTCTTCAGCTACAGCTGTAATGGCGTATGTGCTGTTGGATGACAGATGCCATTGTGACTTCATCATTGAATAAGAAGGAGTGGAGAAAAGAGAAACGTGGGCAGGAAAATATACCACAAACAATGGTCACTGGTTAACACACTTTATATTTAACAAAATAATTTTTTAATAATATATTCTTTTACACATCAAATATTGTTGCTAGAATCCCCCTTTTTTTTTTTACAGTTTATTATTTAGTGTTTTTTTTTTCTCTCTCTCTCACTAGTTTTCAGGCACACCATTTTTCAAAGATTTTAGAAACTGCATCAGTTTAACAGGCATCAGCTGATAAACTGGATGCTGATCCCTTATTTAAACATCGCTGAATTTAAAGCCGAGACCCAAAGGCAGAAGAGAAAGGATAACACAGAGGTGACTGTGTGGCTGTAATCAAAGCCTTCAAAAGAAATAACAACCACCACAACAAAATGATGAGACCTTGAGAAGAACTCTGACATTCCGAGGTTTGGAAAGAACAGCTCAGTGACATGGCTAGAAGGAAGTTGTTACATGGTTATCGGTTTATGAGAAATTCTGTCACAGTATAGGTTTGTCCATCCCTAAAAGTGGGAGAGCATCGGTGGTTGGGAGTATTCAAGGAATTGTAGTGGAATGGAAAAAAAAAAAAACCAAAACAATATACTAAACAGACAAAAGAAACCAGGCCCAACCCGACATGAACAGTGATGAAAATCTCCTTCTCAAGTTTCTAATAGCGGCCATTGTACGGCTGCCAGCGGCGAACTCTCTGAAGAGAGTTTTGATGGACGTTACACTCTATCCCACCAAATCCTGGCTGTGAGGATCAGTGGGCTCAGACTCTTATGCAAAATTTCTATACCTTGGCTTCCAAGTTGCACATTCTTTGTTTCTAACAAGGACATACTAACTCCTTAATGATAGATAAGGGTCTATGCTACATGGCTCTATCAGTGATTTGTTTTTAGTTTTAGCTCTCATTCCTGTCATTTATAATAATAATAATAATAATAATAATAATAATAATAATAATAATAACTATCATTATTATTTCCTTTCAAGAGTGTGGATTTGGGGGACTGTCAATAGGCAACCTCAGGGCAAAGAGAGCTGTAGAGTACAACTTTGTCTAGACACAGGCTGAAGTGTGCGGTGCCTTTGCTTTTGAGTGCAGGCATAAATCATGCAGAATTGCTCATGAAAGATTCATGGCTGTCTCTATGATGTATCCATAGTGGCAACTGAAAGGCACCAACCTTGCAACAAATTGGTGTTCTAAAGAAAGGCGGCTGGATGTTCTTCCTCGGATGGCACCGGGATGGTTATTTGTACCATAACACAAGCCCAGTGTGTGTAAAAGTGTCAGGTCTGGCTCGTCGGCACATTAATTTTGGAAATGACATCTCTTTCTTGATGACAGGTGGTGCTTCTGGGGAGGACAGGCTGACAACTTTAAGTGAGAAAAGTAATTTACGAGACTAAGGAAACTGGTGTCCAGAGAGTGGGTCTTAGAAGCATCACTTGGTAGGGAGGAGATTGACCCTGGGGTTACTGTTTGTGTATGATCCAAAGGGCTCAGGGGCTCAAAAAAGCCATGTGTGTGCAGTCAGAGCTGCCCGGCATGTCACGTGGCAGAAATGATACAGCTGAAGGACACAGCTTCTCAGCCAGGTGAAGTTTTGCTCCCTACCCACACCCCTTGAGGACTTTTGGCAATGTCTGAGGACATTTGGTTGATATAACCAGGTGGATGTTCCTGGACCTAGTGGATGAAATTCAGGAATGTCACTTAGCATCCTAAGAGTGTGCAGCATAACTCCTACCAGCCTGGCCCCAAATGGCAGAGACTGAGGTTGAGATGTCCTTCTGCATGATGTGTTCCTCCACGGAAGCCACACGAAACCCAGACTGTGTTTGGGAGCAGAAAACAGGAAAAAGAAAGACAACTGGAGATGAAGAAAATTTTGATGTTTCCCTATCAGATCTGCACCAGGGGTTTTAGGACGGATAGTGGATAAGTAACTGGGTCATGTGGTCTCAGAACTGTGAATTTTGCAGTTGACTGCCGATGGCATAAGATACCCTGTGTATTTCTTTTATTATTTTTTTCTGTTATTATACTAGCAGCATTACCAGGGCAACCTTGAGACTCTTCAAAGGTTCATTTTAATAGTTCAGTATCTAATATATACATTAAAAATGTTCAACTAATGAAATTATATTGTGCAAGAGTCACTCTACCCTAATCTTTATTTTACATCAGCACTTAAGGTGGAAAGTGTCCTGAATCTGGATTTTAGATTTAGGGCTGAGTGGTTGTTACTGGAACATGGTAAACACAGTCCCAAACCATAAAAACTTCTGTGTATAGGACTGGCTTCCAGCCAAATTGGAACTTGAGAGTTAAAAGTGTTTAGAAAGATTGACTCACAGTGGGGCTACTCACCCTGGTTCTGGTATTTCTATTGCCTGGTGACAAGGTGGGCTTTGTGGTGTGTTTATCAACCAAACTCAAAGCTGGCATCATGAAGATGTCTGGTGGTGATTCAATGCTACAGTTTTAAATACCTATCTCTTTGGGTTCTTCAGTCAACTCATGGCGTTCTTCATCTACTTGTTTCTGATTGGCAGTTTCAAAGTTTTGTGGATGAAATGTGTGGTTAGTAAGAATCAACAGTGAGCCCCAACATGTTGGACATGGACTAGTTGTTCCTCACGTTGGTGTACAGAGGACCCAGTTTACCACTCTGTTTCTTAGCCTACAGACACAGTAACTGCCCCAAGAGAGCCGCGGCTTGGACCCTCTTCCACCTTCCCCCTCTGGAAGGATGTTTCCCTCTAAAGTTTCTTTCTCAAACACTTCTGATGCAACACAAAACTTTACTGTGCAGTCAAATCTGACCCCTTTAGATTCCAAAGGTAGAAAATACAGAAGAGAAAAGTGTAGTACGCGCCAACAGAGTAAAAATGTAGTAAATCAAGGGACATGGATTGGTAGGTCAGAGGCATCACCTGGGAGGGAGCCTGTCCAAGGTTGTTTGCTTTCTTTCTTGTCCCAGAAATCTCAGGCGTCAAGTCACCATCAAGCATTGGTAATTACAAAAGTGGTTTAGATAGCCATATGCTCTGTATATTTTATATAGCAAGAGAAAGAGAGAGAAATTTCCTCTTCGTAAAATAATCACTTTTGTCAACCCCAGAAGGTTTTGCTGGTGACCCTGTTGTAGCTGGCAGGAGTTTGTTTGCTCGTGTGGTTGAGTGTTAGACATGTGCAGTGTAGAAGCCATAGCATCCCTTCCTAGAACTTGTCACCGTTCGGGAATTTGCCCTACACAGTCTGCTTGCCTTGGCATTCGCGCTTTGAACACTGAGCGGGTTTCCACCAGTCCCCGTTGTGACAGTGACAGATGTTACAGTCGTCCACTTTCACTTCAATGCCAGCTGGAATTATTGTAGTTCCTGCAAAGCAGTTGGGACCTGGAACACACACACATGCATTGGTTAGTGCATTAAATCTGGAAGCCTCCTCTCTACCCTCTCCTGTTCTTTCCCAAGAACAAGCCCACCCCAATCCATGAATGAAAAGGTCAGACTGGGCCAAGAGCTTGTCATCAAGGAGTTTTCTAGTCAACCTCTTCAGATTCAAGCTTTCAACTCCATGATCTTTAGCACACATCTCATATTTCCTATGTGTATCTAAGTGAGAGAGACAGATAGAGCGAGAGTGTGAGAGACAGAGAGACAGAGACAGAGACAGATGGGGTGTGGGGGAGACCCTGCTTATTGTCTGTTTACTGAGTCCATTATGGATTAAACTTTATTTGCTTTGTCCTTTGGGTGTAAAGGTGTCAAAGTGCCCCATGAATGGAGGATTGGCACAGTTGGCCTCACATGACACTACCCATGGCCTTCCAGTGGAGGGTGTAAGACGATGAACTTGCTCACTCCCCAGATCCTGCCTGGTTCCTGGAATCCCCAGCTTGTTTCTTGATAACAATGAATAATTCATGGATGGATGATTTATTCATGTCCCCAAACAAGCTTTGTTAGAGGTTCATTTGATTTTTATAAATGGAGTTCCTTTAATCTGCTGGCTATTTTTTTCCTTTTTTTTTTTTTTTAAAGAGTGACCCAAATGTTTGGCTTTTCAAAGTCAGCAAGAATTTTATTTTAATTTTTCAGATTCCAAAAAGCTATCTAGCAGATATGTTCTTTATCTGTCAGATACACTCTACTCCTGTTTATTCTAGATGTGTGTGTGTGTGTGTGTGTGTGTGTGTGTGTGTGTGTGTGTGTGTAATGAACTGTTCTCACATTTTTTTTAGTCCTCATATAGGGATGTTAATATTACACATAGTTATATTTCCAAGTTGAAACTGTGTTTTAAAAAATGGCTTCCCAAGGCATGGTGGATTTCAGAGGAACAGTACAAATTATTGGCTTTTAGGAGTTATTTTGTGCTAAGTCTGTGAAGAACACATTTGGGTAAAAAAGGGAATGCTGGGTTGTGTCCAGTAATGATTTGTTAAGCCATAGGTTTTGGCTACTTGCCATAATCACTAGCTACATGGCAATCTGGTAACATGTCACTATCAATGGCCTGCTTTCACTTTCTCAACAGTTGTTCAGAATTTATAAGACTTCCTCGACTGCCAAACAAATGAGATCAGAGGCTATTTGTAGTGCCAGTTCATTAGCGGAGGCTTCTTTTTGCAAAAATTGTAACTACTGAGTTATGATGCATAGTTGTTAAGGAGCAACTAGCATGCCATGACTTTAATACCCTTTCTTTTAGAGTGTCTCACTGTGTATGCTCCAACAGTATTTGTGTTCGTATGTCCTTCCTTCACTCTGCTACAAGCATCTAGACTCCATGGTTGAACATGGGGGACTGTCAAGAGCAAGGGTGATGGATCAGCTCAACTCTGGTGATAAATAAGTATCTCATGATTTTCTGCCTGCGTCCACAAGGCTTTTTGTTCTGATACTATGATAAGTTCTTGACCGTATTCAAGTGCTGATTATTTCACAATCACAATATTAAATGTATGTATATGAGGGTTTAAGGAATTAGTTGACAGACCTTATTACTTGTGTAACTACAGTTCTATGGGGCAATTCAACACCAAACCAGGAGTTTCTTCTGAACCTAGACCTGAGGGGTCTTTGGAGAACTTGGGAGGAAGGGTGTCCTGTAGTGTAACTTGTTCCCTCATGCCTATTTCTCAGAGCTATCTTAGGACAGACACCTGCCAGCCCAACCAGTTTTAGGCCAGACAAGGTCTTGTTGGGACCCTAGTAGCTTCAGAAACGGCACTAGACTTGGCCAACACTGTCTGTCTGGAGAAAGCCCCAAAGATTAATGCTTGGTCCCTGCCCCTCACAGACACACACAACCAAGACTTTCACTCTAAACATGTATTTTTAGGTTTCCAGAAGGGGAAAGAAAACATTTCATTTTAAAATCATGGTTTGAAAAACAAAGATATGCAATCAACAGGCAGACTATTAACTAGTAGGAATTTTCACAGCCTTTTTAGAGCATTTGGCAATGTGATGGAAGAAGCATGATATTCTCTCTCTCTCTATCTCCCTCACTCTTGTGTGTATGTGTGTGTGTGTGTGTGTGTGTGTGTGTGTGTGTGTGTGTGCGTGCGTGCGTGCGCGCACGCCCGCATGTGTGCATGCTCTTGTAGATGTGCTGCTGTCTCTCAGAATGCTGGAAAAACTCACTGGCATAATAACAAGAAGGCAGGTTGAAGGTATGAAAAGAGACTCCCCGCAAGTGGTTGTGTATGTCTGGAAGGGATATTTTTACTAGAGCTCTGTTTTTGTATTTTCTTCTTGCTGCCTGTGTTGGTAGCATGCTGTGATCGGCATGCATTTGATTAACCTCTATCTATCATTGCTTAAGAGTCACTTAGACTTTGCTGCACTTTCAGCCCAAGAAATATTAATTATATTGATGGATTGAACACAAATGAAAGATCTTTTGCATGTGCCAAGACTGGCCAAAGCCTTGAATGGCATAGTAAGCACTCAGCTGCCTACCTGATGGCCAGAGGCATTTTAAGAATCTTGCATTCTTGTTTGATCTCCTTAACTTTTGTACTTCAGAGGTTTTATTGGTCTTGTTCTGATAATCTCAGATGTAACTGCAGCAAGTCTCAAGTTTGCTGTTGAAAGTCATATACTTAAAAGAAATTTTGATAATTGTGAGTAGAATGGCTGACACTATTTAAAAACTGTTCCGGTTTTAGCCCTCCCCCGAATGCTGGTGCTAATTCTCTTTGAGCTTGTGAATGTTCTCCATTAGTCCCTTCCTTGGGCAACCGTCCTTGCTTCTACCTCCCATCCTCCTATTTGGAGGTTGCTTTCATTTTTCTTTTTGTCTATATGAAGGGATAAATTGCTCAGAAGGCTGGATTCAATGACAAAGCAACACACTGGAATGTAGAGGACTTGGAGAAACTCCAGAGGGGAGCAGTGAAAATGATTAAACCGAAGGCTGGCAGATAGGACCGCCGGGGGAACGTTGAAAGATTGGAATCATTTAATGCAGAAAGAGAAGATAGAGGAGCAGCCCAATAACTCTCAGAGAGTGGTGGCTTAAGAGAGGAAAGGTGACCAACTGGACACTCATTCTACAATTTAGATTAAGAGACAAAGAAGATAACTCTCTTTCTCCTCTCTCTCTCTCTCTCTCTCTCTCTCTTTCTCTCTCTCTCTCTCTCATTTCATCTTATCTCAAAGAACTGATACTTGATTGTGTGCTGAGATTTTCTCTCTTAGAGGTATTTAAAATGTCTAAGCTCTTACCTTAGGTATGGGTTATACTTTAAGCCCCTTGAAGGCAAGAACTGAGTATCTGTTATTTTTTACAGCCTAGGGATGATGCTGTGTCTAGCAGACATTAAGAACTCAGTGTGTAGTTTATTGAGTTCAATGAAATAGGATGAACTAGCTAGTTTTGTGTTTGTCGGAGGCAAACTTGTTACCGAACCTATAGATAAGCCTTTATTTGAATAGCAGGGCTAGAACTATAGTATAGAAATATTCACTTACAGGTGGAAACATGTGGTGATCATTTGTTGAACACTTACTTTATGCTAGAATCTGTCTCATACTGCTTTTTCAATAACCTATAGAAGGCACATGCTTTTCCTCTCACGACACTGAAAATGACTAGCCAGAGGTTACATGCCCGGAATGTGTTATCACTGAGATATGAATTAAAATCTGCATGGCATACAAGAGGTTTCTAGTTGTTCAGGAAATGAAGTAGTATTCTAGAAGTGCACTGCCATTTTTTTTTTGTCCTCGATTCTGAGCTTCTGATGAAAATGTAGACGTCTAGGAGGTTAAAGCATTGCAGATGCATATTGAGGTAGGAAATGTGATGTGGACAGAAAGAAGCAAGATGGTTTTTCTTCAGATCCTTATTTATGTACTGGTTTTATGTTGTGTATTTATATAGTTTCTTAAAAAGCATAATTTGTTTAAAAACTAAAGGAAGTCTTTCGTGGAGAAGATGTGTGGACCACAGAGCTTTCCTCAAGGTGGCAGTGAAGCTTCCTCTGGTGCTTTGTGCACAGTGGAAAGAAACGACATGAAAATAGTTTGGGACAAGGAGAGTCCTGGTTCAAAGTGTGGCTCTGTGACTTATTATGCATGTGATCTTAGACAAACACTTTATTACCCAAGTACAAATGGGAGATCCATGCGGTATAGTTTCGGAAAGAGCTCAACACTTTGAAAATGTGATATAATTGGAAAGTGGATTCTTTGCTGAGACTTGGAGCTGGGAGGAAAGAAGGGGAACTGAGAATGTTGAAATGAGGAGACATTCTCCCTAGGACATACACGAATGATCTCCCCTTACTATTCTACACTTCTTTGAGCGCTTATTTTGCATATCTATAAAACAAAAACTAGCTTAAATTTCTTTCACAGTCAAAAACCATTCAAGAGAAATCTTATAAGGAAGAGAGATAGCAAGCGTGAAAGTTGTAGCTCTCTGGAGGTATGACTGAGGCAAGCCAGGAACTCTATCTTTGGGCAACACTTCCTCCCATCATCCCATCCCAACTTCCCCAAGGTACCGCAAGACACATGTGTAGAATATCTTGTGATCAGAGAAAAAGCATTTGGAATGATTTCTTCCAGCTTTGATACTGCAAGGTTTTAAGAAAAGCAGCAGAACACAGAAGGATTCCTGTCATATTTGTGGTTATATGGACCAGGAGGATTTACTCAGATGCTAAAGTTTTCTGATAATCCCCCAAATTCCCCTTACAAAAGACTGACTAGGAGCACTGGGTTCGCGAGGAGTTGAGAGCTAGTCTGATCACACATAGCTTGCGATGTCCAATACCACACAGCGATAGTAAGCGGCAAGTATATAACCTAAGTGCTCTGAAGGAAAGCACAGCCAGCTGTGAGTTGCAACAGAGAAACTGACTTGGTCCAGTGGAGGA